GTGATAAGATATTTTAAATGCATTACAGCATTCCGAATATATCTAGTCAAAATAGATTGTCTGTGGGGATGATGGTTATGGTGATAAGTCGAATATGGATGTTTATGGTGGGGAGGGGAGCTGAGTAGAATTATAATGAATGTAATAAAACGTTCTTAAAAAAAAAAAAATTATAATCAATAAATACATTTTATTATAAAAGTCTCGTATTTTTATATAGCTATATAAAATATTTAAAAAAACATAAAATTAAATAGTGGTCGTTTTATATTATAAATTGCACGTATTGAACTGACTCGACAGATGGTAATCGACCACTGAGAGTGACATACTTTTGTTAGCAGCACGTCTTAAACTGGCCCATCAGACGATTAGTGGGGTGCTATTGTTAGGGACACGTCTTGGCTCATTGTATATAATCTACTGTAGTGTAAGATCTACTACAAGTACCATTTTAGTGTTGACTCCGCCAGCGAAGAAAATCAAGTTACAGTATAAAATTAAAAAAAAAACATTATTATTAAAAAAAAAATTATTATTATTTTTATAACAAAAGTCGTCCACATAAAATAATAGTTAAGCGTATTATGCCAAAAAACGTAAAAAACTTAATACAGTCGAGTTGCAATAAACTCGATACTCGATAACTCGAATTTTTTTTATTTCCTAAAAAATTCTTCCCCTAACTGATACTCTGACGATGTTTACAATCATATAGTTTAAAAATAAGTTATGATCTCTATCAATTGTGGTTTTTTTAAGAATGAGCCATAACTAAAACATTCGATTTTACATTATTTATATATAATATATAGCCAATAAAATGAAAAACATCAATTTTATCAGTATTAGATTTCCCTTAGCCCTTTAACTCCAACATCGAAAAGGTCGATCTTTCTTTCGTATAACAATGTGATATATATCATATCAATTAGGCTAAATTGATTATTTGTACAATATTTAAATAAAAGAACGATTAAGTATTAAATATTCATTAATTCTACGACGGTCTATCTGGACATCATGGACTGTCTGATCAATAGATTCTCAATCGTCCTACACCATCTTGATTCCCACTAATCTTATCATCAGATTTTGCGCATTTACCGTTTTTATTTTATTTTTTAATTATTTTTTACTTCATACTTGAACAAGATGTTCAAATGTGATAAAATGTGCGTCTAATTTCACACGTAAGAACTATTTGTTAGTACACAAAAGAACGCATGGTGCATTGTATTTGATTTCCGTGCTCTATCTGGACATCGACATTTAATTATAAGTCTAACTTTAACAGACCATAATTATAAATCAATATTTAATCTAATATTTATTTCACAAATTGTTGCTTGCAATAGATAACTACTTCAACGAGATCAGATAGAGAGTGCTCTATATATTTTAATATTAAACGAGTTGGTAAGTCCATCAGATCCAAAATATGAATGTGCCAAACATAGGCGTGCACAGTGGGGATGCCGGGTATGCCATGGCATCCCCTGCAGTCTACTCAGATAGCTTGTTTTATGTTTTTACTTTTAATAGTGAAAACTATCAATATTATCATAATGTTTATCACAAACGTAACAAAGAGTTTTGTAGTTATGTAATACATTTTTTAGGAAAAAATTCTAATTTATGGTTTTTTTTTTTTGAAGAGAGTTAAAAATTGAGGTATTTTTGAATTATATTGACATTTCCTGCCAATATAATTCAAAATTCAGACATTTCCCAAAGTCTGCGCACGCCTATGGTGCCAAATGTATATTTTAACGACAATACAATGAATTGTGTATGGAAGTTCTAAATAGTATTGAAGATTCTGGGATATGTGATGCTGAAAGTAAGATTTATTTATATATATATATATACATATATATGTATGTTAAAGACAATTCTAAGAACATCGGTTTTATTTTTTTTTTAACTAGATTCTTATAGGACTTCGGTAGAGGGATAAATGTGTGCAAAGGCAAACAAAAAATAAAGCGTCTCGTATAAAATTTAAAAAAACTAGTATGAATGTAGTTAATGAGAGTGGTTACGCTGTCAGTTAAATCTGCATAGAATAATCGTAAAACTGTATATCGCTTTTTTACAACCTAGTTGTTTGGTACTTAACGCAGTTTATATACAGTTGATACAGTCTATACACAGTCGATACAGTCTATACACAGTCGTATACACTCACTATCGTGGTGTACACAGCTATTTGGTTCTTGATTAATCGTTTTCCGTTGGGCTTAATCATTGGCGGTGGCTGACTGTTCTCACGTTTGCGCACGCAAAGTATGCCAACCGTTATATCCATCGTCTTTTAGAGCTTCAACGTGATATCTGCTTGTACTAATGTACCCACGTTTGATTCGCACAAAGTACATTTTCTCTCGTTCAATGTATTATATAAGTGAACGAATACGATCCGGTGCACGGCTACCATCAATATCTCAGTGATTCCGCGCTTATTTATGCCCATGTTGCAGGAATTTTCGTACTTTTGTTTTCGTTTGTGTTTAGTCTAACCATCAAAAGATTCCGTGAGTAACCCAGTCACCATTTTGGTCCGTCGGGCCTGATTTTAAATTGGTCTGTTGTGAAGTATATTGTGATTTAAGTATAGTTTATGACCTTCGATTTTGAAGTTTAACATTTAATTTATCATGACACAGAAAAACAACGACATTGCTGAGTGCGACCTGTCACATGCGCATGTAAAACGGATTCGAGCATTGAAGACGATCGAAAATATTTGAGCCACAGTAGCGCAACCAAATACCAATAAAACGACCTGTGTTTCGCGGTCGATTAGTCACCTTGAATTATTATCCGATGAATTTTGACGGCAACAGGACGTCATTATTAATTCATTAATCGAGATTAACTACGTTACAACAGGTTGGCCATCCGGTTGACATTTCAATGGAATTCATGTTCTTTGTTTGTAATTTGATCGTTAATCGGTCTGGCCACCGATTACATAAAACTTCTATGACATACCTTCATACAAACACCGGCAAAAAATTCATTCAGTTATCGAAAATATAACTTAAATACTCTTAGTACTTACATTCGATGATTCTTTATTACGATAGGAATATTTCTACCATATATGTATTAATTTTACATTGTTGTTTTTTTTTTTCAATCTAAATTTTTTTTTTGTGTCTACCATCACGTTTTGGAGTAGAAATAAATAAATAATGCTTTGATTTTTAACTTCAGCCCTTTTTTGAAAAGACACTTTATCTAGTTGATACTTTGGGGAGTCTAAAGTAAAAAGTTTCCAGTAGTTTTCAAAAGCGTCTGGAAAAACACTAAAAAGTAGCGAAAAAAGGGTATTTTACGCATAGAAAGTTTTTGATAAAAACAATTTTTTTATTTTGCTGTAATTCAAAAATGAATCATTGTAAATACTTGAAATTTTTACCAAATGTTTACATTAGCGTTGTCTATTTACGATTCAATTTTCAATTTTTTTAAAGCTATTTATAGATAGTTGAAATTTTAGATTTTTCTATTTTTTTTTTTTTAAAATGCCTATGAAAAATTTGACTATCCAAAAAGTCTTTAAAATTTAATACAAAGTTTATTACAACTTTTACTTATCAAAATAAAAAAAAATAATAAAAAATCGTTAATCACAATTTTTGTGTATAAACATTTAAGGGTTATATGTTTCCAAATATGTCGAAATTGAGAATATTTGTGTGGAATTATGAAGTTAAAAATTCATAATACTGTATTGATTTATACCTAAGGTTAAAAAACTCAACTTCAGGTTCTCCATAATTTCTTCTTCAAATAACGGTAAAAAATCAACATTTTAACATTGAAGTACTCTGTGGAATCGATATTTATATATGTCTAATTAGTAATTACTAATTAGTATTAGATTAATTTAATTGTTTTATTTTGCTCTATACTATCATAATGTACATTACAAATGCATGATATAAGCCATAAGGTATTATGATAACTACATGCAATACTTATGGAAAAAATTAATTTATCTTGCCGTATGGAAATATGTAACTCATCCGAGATCATACTTAAAAATTAATTACTTGTATAGTTGTATCAAAAAATATATATTATAATTTAATTTACTTTAGGTAATATAATAGGTATATTCTAGACTGACAATTCCGTTMAAATTTGATCTTGTCATTTCATTCAAATTTAATACATCCATTTTAGTGACCTATTCTCCATCTCTACTATACAGCAGAACGATACCCACTTGCCCACTTTTTTTTAATGATATTGGGGCATTATAAGCTTCCATCAACTTTATCATATTATTCTTATTTATACCAAAATAGTTGGTAAATTATTTAATTTAAGACGTTTAATAACGGGAAATATTTTTTATGTTATGCTTTGCCAAAAAATAGTTGGTAAATTATTAGCAAATAATTTAAAATTGTGTTTATTTAGGTTAGAAATATTCATGTTAAATCATATTTTAACTCATTATCGTAAATATTTAACTTGACATTTCGGACCTCCTGTCATGTAGGTTGGAAAACGCTACTTTATACTGTGAATAACTCAGTGAGACATGTGTTAGTATGAGTAGTGAGTGAACGCATACAGTTACATTATAAATATTATCAGTTATCACCTTTTTATAGTTATAATTTAAAGTCTATATTAAGAGGTCGTCTCACGGAAACGTTTAGACGATACAATGCTCAAGAGATAGCGTCGTTAGCCATATTGGAGTTGTCATGGTAGGCCGCAATTTTCTATGGTTTTCTTTTTAAAAATACTGTACGTGTTCAAAAAATATGCGTTACTATGTGGTTTTATTGTAAAAACATATACGAACAAAATTATGGAGGAGATTCATATCTGGTTCCATGTAATGCCCGATTTTTTGTATTTATAAAAATTTGTATAATATCTCAAATTTTAATAATAGCCTTTTTTTTACCTTTATCGAGAGTTAATTTTAGGTCTTAAAAATTCAAAATTTCCGTGAGACGTTTTCTGTTATGATGGATTATACCAGAGCTATTCAAACTGTGCGACTCCCAGGAGCTGAGAAGCATCGAAGTAATTGGCAAAAAGAGCCACATAAAATAACTAAGCCAAAATTGATATTATGTATAAATATTATTTTAATCTATTATTGTGATTATTATAATTTAAAGTTGAATTTATATAGCACTAAAGTCATTATTATTATTATTTATCATCCGAATGTATCYATTGACCGTTAAAATTAATTAAAAAGTCGCCAATAATTTGGGAGCTGTCAAATATTATTAAGACAAAAATGAGCCGTGAAATGAAAAAGTTTCAATACTTCTGGGTTATACTTTTAAATACAAATCGGCTTCATAATGAGCCACTTGAATGTTTCGAAACAATAGTAATTGATATATTATCAATATACAATAAAAGCTGCTTATTAGGAACACTTTGGGACCAAGATGAATGTGTCAATCAACTAATTGTATCTAATAAGTGATTGGTTTATGTATACGTTTACATGGTATGTACGGCTGTACGGTCCTGGGACAATTTGTTTCAATAACGCGATTGTATCCGTGTTTCTAATAAGTGGCTTCTACTGCATTATAATATTATACTAAGGATGCTGGAAGCGCTCTGTTTCTAATTAGTAAATCATAGGCAATTAGTTTAACATTTGAAGTCTCATACTGCTGTGGTGAGAGTAGTAAATTAACTTTTGTGTGAGTGTCCAGCACGCTACAACTACTACCCGCATATTTTACTATGGTGCGATATTCCAAGAAACAACTAATGGTCCGCATAAGTCATTGTATTTGATGAAATGAAATATTTTTTTCCAACGAAGAAATTAGTTTTAATCAATCTAAACCTAAAAGCCTGACAAAAATACGTCAACTCAAAATGATCATATTTTAATTCTGTAAAAATATTTGTATTTGTCGTTGTGTTTTTTAGGTTATTTTGGATGTTGATTTAAAAATAACTGTTTAATTTTCTTAAAAAAAAAACACTCAAGTAAATCTAAAAATTACAAAATAATTAAGAAACTAAACTAAGATTTAAGAACAGTTTTTAAAAAAATATAAAAAATCAATTTTTAATAACAATAACAATAACCTAAAAAAATTCGATAAACTCAAATCATTTTACATTCTTACACATATACATACATATATTATGTATATAATATATATTTTTTGTGGCTGTGTCACTTTAATCGAATTTTTTCCGGCAACCTTCACTATAGACTATTTAGAACCAACATTTATCATCAATGAATATTTACCACCACTCGTAAAACTTCGTGTTAAAAAAGAACAAAAAAAATCATCATGACCACCCGCTGACGGTACACATATTTTACCTACTTTGAAAGCAGTTGGATATTGGCGTCTAGCCGTCTCGTGTCCTAACAACAGAACAGAACKATGTATAAGGTATTATATGAATATTTCAATTATACAACCCAGTACTTTATCTTATTCTTCTACTTCATCTTATTATTATTATTATTATTATGTTCGGTTAACAACAGCTCTAGACATTCATCTATTATTCTAGTGAATTCAATATTAAATATGTTTCCAATATACCATAAGTACTTAGTTAATACTTTCGGAGACCCATATACTGAAGCAAGCCAAAAAAGACCCATTGAAAAATAATTAACGCCAAAATATTAATATACCTAATAAAGGTATTGAATACCCGTTAATATCTAAATAATTAAAATCAAAAATAATATTACGATAAAAACTCTTCAGTTTTAAATTCTTAATCATGATTTTATATGAATATAAATTACACAATATTTTTATTGTTATGTCTGGTGGATCACCTTTGAATATGACGATGTTCAGAAAGGATTAAAATTTACAGCGATTTCAAGGACATTTGCTGATCAAGTTTTCGCGGTAACGTGTATAGATAAAACGCAGGATACACCTTTAGGCACAAAGCAATGTTTGCCACATTCCCACAATAATTGTTGTTGTGTACAATCGTCGTAGCGGCCACCAAGGAATTTGGTTTCCAGAAATGCGAAAACCACACCCAATTGACCATAAACTCCCCTTAACCCCACCCGAAACTACCACGCACACACGCACTCACACGACCCGACGATCCCCGCTCATCACGTTAGGTCCGAACGACAGTCCGTTTATCTTCCGATTTTCGGCGGCGCGGTCGGTCAGTGGGTCACACGCTTGGAAGTATACAGTGTATTATGTTTACTCTCGTACATAATAGATTGGCAAAACCATCCGAAGCCCTACGGTCATCATTTCTATATAATCTCCTTTTCGGTTTGGTCGTGTCTTTGTGCAACGATAACAACGCGCACGTCTTGTATGTATTAATATTTCGTTTTGTGGCTCTTCTACATGATAAAATTAATTTAATAATATATTAGATACACGCAGCGGGACCATTATTTTAATTGTCTCTTCTTATTAATATTATGCTGCTAGTTGGTGCGCTGAATGGCAAATGGCATGTCGTACAACTATGTTCATAATATTATGATATTATCGTCGTTGATTGAATGCATATAGGTTTTTTCTGAAACGACGACATCGGGTCCATTAATTACATACACTATACACCACTACATCAAGTAAGTCTTAACTGTTATTTATTTATTATAATAATATCAGAATAATAAGTACACTATGTGATTAATGGTTTGTAGTTTATACTTTTGTAGTCAGTACCATTGTACAATTTGTACCTAAATATAATTATTCAATTTATCTTAAATAAAATTGTATTTTACAATTTGAATATTGATTGAAAAATGTTTAGTGGTTTATAATTTTATGTAAATATATTTAATTGATACAATTTTATTCAGGGTTTCTATTTTTGTATTAAGCAATGCTCCAGTGACTGCATGGGTGGCCAGTGAATCACATTTTTGTATTTGATGAAGTGCAATAATTTAATACAAATAATTTAAGTTGGCTTAGTGGCTACTGAAATTTAAGTTTACAATTAAAGATACAATGCTAACATGAATATTTCCCACTCACTTTATATTTTTGTAATATTTCCATAAAACTATTTATGTACGTAATTACAACTATGAATTAAGCTAAATTAAATTATTTGTATCAAATTATAACACTTCATAATATATAAATAATTATAAACAATTTCTATACCATTTAATTTAAGAAATTACTCTTTTTGGTTAACTTTAACTTTTAACTTGAGTTTTGTTTCTCATAATGATGTTTTTGCACGTAGGTTGAAGGAGTGTTTTTATTGAGATAAATCCTTATAAATATACATAGAAATACATAATATCTCATCTATTTTGAATCTCTTTGTGGGTTAATTTATTCGGCGTATGCGTTTTCATTAGGTTAATGCATATTTTTATTTTTTGACACGCGTATATCCAGTGAAAGTTAATTTTACATTAAAAAAACATAATTATTAAAGACAAATGGGTGATAGATATTCGTTTTTACTAGATGTATTACTATATAATATGTGTTTAACAACCGATTACAATCCACATAGGTATTGCCATAAAAGTAATTAATACAATATTACAATTTCAAAAAATATTTTAAATATCTACCTTTCATTTATAATTCATTAGCAGTTATTTTAATAGATAATTGTATTTTATAAATGTATATATAAAAAAAATAATGCCTTATAAGAATAACTTCCACTTCTAACGTGAACAAGTTTAGTTTTTAAGTATCAGTATAATATCATAAAATATACTTGATAATATTATGCCTGTCAAATAATCTTCACTAAGGATAGTTTTTTTTATATGCGATGATATACAATTCAATTGAAATTTAACATACATATTACAGGCTTACTCAATGACGAGGCACACTCGACACCTATACTTTAGGTAAAGCAAGTTATCTACTAGCTACTTTCCCCTTTTCAATACTTAATTTTAAATGTTAAGTTAAAATTTACTGCAAACCACTCTCTTTTCACAACAAGATCACTAATGACAATAACATATATAATGACTCAAAAATAGTAAATGAACAAATAATTTAATACACTAGTAAGTAATATTGAAACATAACAGCTAATAATAACCTAAAAGATAAAATTGTAAGTAGATACTTAAATATACATACACTTAATCAACAATTGAAAATAATATCATTCTATTGAAAAGCGACATAATTATTTATTATTCTATATCTACGTTATGTATACATAACTGATATTAATATTATAATATAAACAAATAAATAATTTAAATATGATATAGCTATTTCGAACACGATTATTACAAACGTGAAACCTCGATTTTTTACGGATTATAGGGTACGCAATAATTGGTAAATAAATAATAACAAAATCATATTATGCACACTCAATTAGAATACTAATAATTCCATTGTTTAATGTAAAAATTTAAAAATGGCAGCAATATCTTCTACCTATTCTATTATAGGTACGTAAATACATTAGATACCCGATTATCACAACATCCGTTATTCGAACCTTCTATTATCCGAACGTTATTTCATTTCAATTTATGTATCCGAACGTCGATGCGTAAAATATTACAATACACATGCCAGTATGTTAGTGCGACTAGTGCGTAGCAGCAATTCGTTACATAAAAATTGATCAGTTTGTCTAAAACAAATAATAATACATACATTATGATAATTCTATATAATATTTAGTAATATTCTTATATTCGTAATAACAAATAACTAATAAGTAATATAACACAATATATAAGGGACTAATGTGTAATGATAAAAGCGTATAATAAGTCGATAGTAATATGCAATAATAATTCTATATTCATTGTACAAACGATATTTTTTTAGATTTCTGTTATCAGAACTTTTGCCTGTCCGAACTCATTGTGGTCATAATTAGATCGGATAATCAAGGTCCTAATGTAATATGATTTATAATAATTTAATAGAATACAATAATAATTATATATATTAGGATTTGTATGTTATTTATAATCAGTGATTAAGGTCAATAATTAACCCTTAAATGGTTATTTAATAATAATATACAAACATGTAGTGGTGCTGTACACAGGGTTGAACAAGATTCCAAAAAAAAGTATAATGATACATATTACATACATTTAGTGTATCAAGTACACTTCTATATTTACAATCGAATTTTATTTTCTATTAAACTTAAGACGTATATACATAATTTACTATACTGTCAATTCATAATTACTTATAAAGTCATAATTATAATGATACAGACATACGGGAATCTTAATTTAATTTTATGTTTTTCAAGTTATCTTACAAATTTACAAGTTATTAAATTGTGTGGTACCTACATTTTTTGGTTATCGTTAATTTCAATTCGATTGCACTGAAAAATACAATCCTTTGCGAAATTATCTACTATCGAAAATCGAAATGTCTTGGTACTATTAAGTACACATTTTTACAATAATAGTAACTTGTATCTTTTGACAAAAAAAAATAAAAAAAATACAAGATACTAGTATAAAATGTATGATGATACATGATACTAGATACTTTAAAATTATGTATCATAATACAAGATACAAGATATAATTGTATTTTTGATATTGCCTAACCCTGGTTGTTCATGATTGATATAAGTATTCATAAAAATTGTTTTGAATTTAGATACAATGATTACTCTGATATTATTGTTGGCTATGTTGCAAACCGGACTGTCGGTCATCGGCGGATTCGAAGAAGTGGAAAAAAATTTGCGTATAAAATTAGGTAAAATTTATACAATACATTTATTATTGCTGCAAAATAACTAATTCCGACATGTTTGAATAGAAATAATTGTATTGTATCATCATTTTAATTTAAAGGTTTAAGCCAAAAACCTGTGATAAATGAAAACATAAAGATACCAACTGCCTCTATGGATCTGTTTAACTTAACATCAGCACAAAAAATGACAACACATTTTCCTCTTCCTGGTTTGCACACAATGTCTGCTAATACTGCTAGGATTTATCCCAACAAAGGTAGTTAAGAATTTTTGAATATAGATAATATTAATAATATATTATTATTATTATTATTATTATTATTATCTACTTACATTGTTATATTTTATATAAATTACGTATTACCTATATTTTAAACAAATTATGATTTGTGTTTTATATCTGTGTTTTCATTCAAATAAAATATATTCATACTAATTTAAATTAAATATTACTCCGAGTTAATACGTATATTTTAGTAGAATAAATTTGATAAATAATTAGAGCAATAATAATTTGTATTTAAAATATCATATTCTGGTAATTTATAATTATATTATTATAGGATCAGCTCCAATCAAAGTTAAGACTAAGAAATATAGAGTACAGTTCGATATAGATTCTATACCGGAACGAGAACAGGTTAAAGCTGCTGAAGTTCGTTTTACGATGAAATACGATCAAGTACTACAGAATGGAGAAATTATTCATGTAATTTTACATGATATAATCCAACCTGGCATAAAGGGCCTATCAAAACCTATTTTAAGGTTAGGACGGTGAACAATTATTATGTATAGGTTAGAGGTATTCAACATTTTTTTTATTCCACAGCTTCTTTATCTTTTTACAACATTTTACTATTTTCACAACGCTTAGAATAAAATAATTTATATAATCGTCATCATAATTATTTTTATTCATCTTCTATGCAATGGCTCCTCTGAAAAATTTAATACTCGTGACGTCCCTTAGGGCCACCACGCACAGTTTGAGTACCTCAAGTATAGATTATGTATATAAATTATAAACTATACAAAGTGTCCGTGAGGATATATCTATTAGCCATAGAGGGGGACTTGCCACCCGAATACAAACCAGTTTTTTGCCGTTCTACCTATCGGCTAAAATAATTATTAAAAATCATGTAATAAATGAAAATAAAATGTTGAAAGGTAAAAAATTTCACCAATATAAAACTCTATAAGATAGGTATCTTTATTTTTTTCAAAAATTGAAAAATAAAAAAAAATACATGTAGCCCTTGTCTATGTGAGTGTGGGGTAGGTAAATTGAGTCCCAAACTAAATTATTGTTTTTCAAAAGCGGTGAATTGAGTCCCTTGTAAAAAAATTAAAGTGGCGAATTGAGTCCCTTGTGAAATAATTAAAGTTATGAATTGAGTCTATCGTATATTATTAGACTAGTTTTCAAAATTACCTATACGTACAATCGTGCATCATTATTTAGTTATTGCGAGCATATAAGCACACCAATTTCACGTATTAATAAGATACTTATCTTATCGTATTTAGCCACGATTACTGTAGATTATAGTCTCCAATATTACCTATACGTACAGTCGTACACCATCAGTTATTGCCAGCATATTTAGCACAACTATATAAACATTATAATGGACGTAATGAAAAGTGAACGTAATAATAATTATAAATTATTATATTATGTATTATTCATTCAAGGTTGACATTTATTACCTATTATTATTAATTTAGACAATAGGTACTAATTACTATAAGAATTATTAATTTACCAGGGTAAATATTTACAATAACTATTTATATTTATAAGGGACTCAGTTTACCTCTTTCATTTTTTTACAAGGGACTCAGTTTACCTCTTTCATTTTTTTACGAGGGACTCAATTTACCTATTATTTTTTTTTGCGGGACTCAGTTTACCTAAAATAATAATATGGGACTCAATTTACCAAATCCGGTGAGTGTAATACAAAAAAAACAACAGATTATGATATACGAGTTATTACCTTAGGAGATATGGCAATGAGTAAATCCTCGCGGCACACCCTGTATAGAACAACCATTTATTTTTTTTTGTAATCTTTGAATTCATATCATATTTATATTCATAGAATTATCGATTCAAAATCGATTAATATATCAACAATTTCAAAGACCGAAAGTTTCGACGCAACACCATTCATTGAAAGACTGTTGAAGAACAATTTCAAAGGAAACCACGGTATGCTAGTACAATGCTTCACGGAGTCTGGTAGTCACACTCATTTATTGAGTGTGTTTGATTTTATGTCACCTGAAAATACATTGCTATTGGTCTACACCGATGACGGAACAAGTGAGAATAATGCTATTTATAATTAACATGCTATTTGTAAATAACAAACAGCTTAAAAGTGTGAGACGTGTACGGCTTTCTTAAGTTCAGGAGTTTCTAAATGCTTCTAACACGATATTATTTCTAATATTCAAATACTTGCTTCTATTGAAGCTACTATTATATATTATAGGTTAGGTAGTCTCAACAATTAAGATTAAGAGTCCATTTTATTTATGATTTATTCAATTTTTGCTTACTAATCTATCACCTAAAATATTTTGTTGTTGACAGTAATTTATTTTGTCGATACGTCACAATGTCAATCGCTTTAATAATATGTGACGAATTATGATTATAATAACAACATTGCGTCATTGAAACGTTGTTTAGGCCAGAAGAGCACGCTGGAACAGATGATACGGCGGACCAAACGATCGGTTGGCCCTTCAACTGGGCCGAAGAAGAAAGCTAAAAAGACGAACTGCCAACGGTATTCGATGTATGTAAATTTCAAAGAGATCGGGTTCAGCAATTGGATCGAGGCGCCGAGTGGGTACGACGCGTTCTACTGTGACGGGGTGTGTAAGTTCCCATTGGCAGGTCATCTTAATGCGTCCAACCACGCATTACTGCAGACGCGATTAAACGCAATTAATTCGGCGTTGGTTCCGCATACGTGCTGCGTACCGACCAAGCTTAGTTCGCAGTCATTGCTTTACAAAGATGACAATGGAAAATTGGTGTTGAAAAACTTCCATGAAATGACTGTGGACGAATGTGGATGTAGATGAGAGCGGTAGTGGTGGTGGTATTCAATGGCAGTTATTATAATACATAATAATACATAATTATACATACACGATAGGTGTAATTTACGATTGTGGATACAATCATGGGTACAACCTTGCCACTTGTAATGAACGTAATAAATTTGCAGTGTATATTTGTGTGTTGTTCGAACTGAACCGACTGATATTGTAAATAGATATGTATATTGCAGTATATACACACATGTAAATATACGTATCAATATATATATTTTTAATGTGTTAGTTATAATGTATATATAAAGTAAGTACTTACAAACAAGTATCATTGTAAAAAGTCTAAACTAAATATAATTTAGTTTTAATGTTGAATAACCATGACCTAGCTATTGTGTCTTAGATATGTTTATATACAAACACTTATTACAAATTATAATTACTGGTATTGCTATTCCTACTATTTCAATTATTTACTAACTTTTGTTTTCGTAGTTTTTTTTTAAGTTGCTACATACTATACCTTAATAAATATTATAATTATAAATACAAATGTAATTGCATTATACATTGTAGTTTATTAATAATTTTATTATTTTGACAACCATCTGTTACTATATCATCAGTATTACATGATTTAAATATGTAGGAATGCCTTTTTATTTTTCCATCACATAACGTAAACATACTATAATTTATAACCATAGGTACATATGAATTTATTTTTGTCTATAACTAAAGTATAAATATTACATTTGCTACGTGAGAGAGCAATTGAAAACATTATTAAATAATAAAAAAAAAAATGAAAATGAAGATTGAATGTCTATAAATAGGTATAATTCAAAATATTTTTTTATAGTGTATAAAAATTTATATTAAAAAATTTGCTAAAAAATTCAAATATCTACAGTTTGTAATTTAAAAAAAAAAAATAAAAATCATATATTTTATGAGAAATCGGGTACTGATCCAATGTTATATAAATTTAATATTAAACGCTCATAACAGACCAATTTGACTTAATAATAATTTTTTTTTCTTCAAGTTAGGAAAACTTATGAGTGATTTATTATTATAGTTTTGAATTTTAGATTTCAATAGAGAATTTATAAATTTCTAACTAGAAATAATTTGCAAATATTTATGATTCTAACGATTTTTGTTGAAATGAAACGTCATACACTCATACAAAATTACTGTGGATTTATGCTCAACTTGTTATGTATTTTCACTAACAACAAGTTTCTAATAAAATTTCAAGTATTTTGACAGAGTGAAAATTGTTATCGAAATTTCCTTATAATATTTAAAATTCAATGTTTTCATATAAGGTAATAATATAAACGGTTGTTTTAAATGTATGTATCTACTATCTATAGATACATTTTTTAGAGTTAGAGCAAAAAATAACGAAATGGTCAAAACTGATTTTACTTAAAAATCTTTGTTTTTCTTTTATTTCGACCAGATAATTTTAAAAATTACTTAGAAGTATTTTAAATTTTGAAGCATAAAAACATTCAAAGTACATGAACCATTTTTACTGTACCCCAAGTTGATGAATAGCATATTATAAAAAAAGACTTAACTTTCAGTATAAGTGAAACCTTTGACTTCTGAATATAAAATTAAGGAAAAATAGGAATGTTTTCCATATTATACATGTTACATTGGTGTAGCTTTACCCGTAGACATTTTAAATTTTTACCAAATATTTATACAACCAATTTCCCAACAAGAAAACATTTTAAGTTAGAAATATTTACTTAAGCTATTTATAGATGCATGCAATTTTCAATTTGTTTTGATTATTTTCAATCAATGACGGTAAAAACTTTTTCACTAGATCAAAAATTATTTAAAATATAATATAAAGTCTCTCTTAATTTTTCGGTAGCAATCAGACTTCAAATTTTGATTCAATATTTTGTAAAAATCACATACATTGCAGTCGATATGACAGTCGAAAAGCATGGCAATTTAATAGAAAGGTCGTTATAAGCTTTTAAAGAGGTATAGTAATTCACACATTTTTTTATAGATATCTTAATTTAAAATTTAGATCAAATTAGATATTTTAAGAAATATGTATAATATAAGTTTTAGTTGTTTTGTTGTAGTTTAAGATAGTTCATCAACTATAACACTATTTTAGATCACACATACATAAAATATGACGTGTTCCAAAACGGTTTTTATATGGGTATATGCCAAGTGTACCAGAAATCACAGGTAAAGAAAAAAAAATTTGGGATCCTAAATGGTAATAGATGAATCAACTGCGGTGGACGATATAGAGGTCCAAAAAAGGTTATTTATTAATTGCGCTGCGTATTGTATGAGTTTGAATAATCGTTTTGATATCAATATCGATATCATTTTGACAATATTTGTGAATATACGTTTTCTATTTACGTGTGATAAAATTACCAATAAATTGGTCTAAATGGGATATTAGTTAATACATATATTGTATCATATATATAATCTTATATGAAACATCAAATTTTTGATATTAAAATTACATTTTACAAATTTGTCTATAAAATATTAAGCTTAATATTTTACGATTTTTTATTTTGACTATTGTTTTAATACAGAATTCTGTACCTATTATAAAAATTTAAGTGATATTCAAATAAATAAGTTGAATGAAAAAAAAATATCAAATTTTGAATATATAGGTACAAATATTGGTTACTAAATATAAGCCTTAGCAATGTTATACCAAATAATTTTTAATTGACTATAATTATATAAATGCATATGTTTTATTTTATTGACAAATTATAGGTATTACTACCAGTTTTTTTTTATTGCCTGATGATAACATTTTTTAAAGTTATATATTATTTGTATAAATTTAAATGTTTAATGTTTATTATAATATATATCTAAAAATGTATATGCTTTCATTATAATAAATTAAATTTAAATTAACGTATTTACAAGGTGTTACTTGTAAAGTTTATGAACCACTACTAGATTCAATACAGTAGGAAACTAGTGCGAAAATTTTTGGGTGGCTATTCGTACCTATATTATTATGAACTATGACAAACCTGATCATCGGAGACAGTTAATGTATATTTTTAGTTATGCGATAAGGCTGGGAAGAAATTATTTGGGAGATAGCTAATATGCACCGGTCTAAACGTTATGTTTATTTGTACCCAAACGTGTTGGCTTTTGGTCAATGTACCCAAACGTTCTGCGCCCGATTTTGAATTTCGGGTTAACCTTAGCGGTAATACTTATTTGAGCACAGTACAAAATTTTCTACCTGAAAACTTTAAACACGTTTGCGTACATCGAAAAACGTGAAAACCCAACTAACACAAATTTTGAGCGTTCTATAAATTATGTAACCTAGTAACACAGTATACACTATACATTTATCTTGTGATGAGGTTCAGAAAGCCATAATGCTAGTGGCTACACATTCTCAAGAAGAACCACTGAATGTAAAATACAACACCTATAGGAGACATTAAAAATAGGGTACCAGACTTAACTTAATTTGGGCTTAATTAAATAAGGGATGATATCAATCACACACATTTTGTTTCCAAATTTAACCACTCCTCATTCCAATTTAAGTGTTTTCAAGAATATCCGCTCCCAACTATAATTGGCAACACATCGAACGGAGACGGTTACGGTGAACGAGCGCGTGCGTCTTTCTCATGTATTCCTGGTATTCGTAGACACAATATGAAGACCTTTGCTTTTATTTTTGATATTCAAATGTGTACCACAGCTATCTAATATAGACGAATAATTGTCCGCATAACGGAAAGTAAATGTTCATAATTAAGGCAGCTTGAACCGATTGCATTTTTCTTTTCCTATTTCAATTTTTAATACTTATTTCAACTGATTATCCACTTTTTTAGGTTTTTTGTCAACGGCTCATTTAAGTACATAATATGCATTTTGAGAATTTAAAACGATTACGTTTGGTGAGGAAGTGAACAAATTTGGAAAAATACCTAAAATCCATCATCCACGAAATATAATATAGAATAGAAACAAATGAATTGTAATGAATTTATCGAAACCCATGTACTAATGTTCAAGCACTATTTGCTAAACTGATATGAAATGACATATAAAATGACACGAATCCTATAATAACAGAGAAGATAACAACTTTCTGTGTATAAATGGTTGTGTTGCATATTTAGCTTACTAAATTGTGTAAACTGACTTCGGGTTTAATTGAATAAGGGATGATATCAATCACACAAACATTTTTTCCGATTTTAACCACTCCTCATTCCAATTAAAGTTTTTTCAATAAAATCCGCTCTCTACTATTATTACCAATACATCGAACGGTGACGGCTACGACGAACGAGCGCGTGCGTCTTTCTCATGAATCCCTGGTATTCGTAGACACAATATGAAGACCTTTGCTTTTATTTTTGATATTCAAATGTGTACCCCAGCTATCTATTATAGACGAATTATTGTCCACATAACGGAAAGTAAATGTTCATAATTAAGGCAGCTCTAACCGATTGCATTTTTCTTTTCCGATTTCAATTTTTAATACTTATTTCAACTGATTATCCACTTTTCTAGGTTTTTTGTCAACGGCTAGTTTATGTTCATATGCATTTTGAGAATTTAAGTCAATTACGTTTGGTGAGGAAGTGCGCAAATTTGGATAAATACCTAAAACCTATCTCCCACGAAACATAATATAGAATAGAAACAAATGAATTGGAATGAATGTATCGGAACCCATCGATAGGAACCCAAAATCCTGGTACGCGTAAGTGCTGCAATTAAAACCTTGCAATAAATGAGAGCTTAAAGTCGATGCTGTTTCTGTCGGCGCCTGATGATAGTAGAGAACACAAACGTTCTAGTAAAATTATATTTAATAATTTAAATATTTAATTTTTCAAATTCTGTCTTTCAAACGTCAGTTGAGTCCATGACTGTAGGTTTTCCGAATACCAGGATTTCATGAAATGATTCGTACGCCCGGACCATTTCCATACTTGGACTGCACGTTGTGAAACGTCGTCATTTTTATAA